TCAAACCAATAGGCCCTGCTGGACTGATTGAGGAGCGAGCCCAGGGATAGGGCTGCAGATAAAGGGACCTTACAGAGGGTGCCTAGATAGACCCCCTTGTTGCACTTGTGCCCCCAGAAGGGGTTTGCTTTTTATTTCACATACAGACTGTGGGACTCGGCCAGAGGGTGAGTTGCTGAAGACACACCACAAGGCAGAGAAAGAGTCCAGGCATGCATGCTCTGCCAAGGGGAGTGCTTGAGAGAGGTGAGTGCCATCCCATTACTATCCTACAGAGGCAAGGAAAGTGGTACAAGGGTGCAGTTAGGTATTTGGTCTACACTGATGGTGCAAGTCAGGAAAGTTACAAAATATAAAGTGAATAGTGCACACCTTTTAAAGTATGTTGAACTGAGAAAGCATTACATTGGCATCTTGTGTATCCTTCTTTCAAAGTTTGTAAGTCAGTGTGTATTCTAGGTTTTGTAGCTACTACTGGAAAGCTGCGGGAGGGTGACATCTGTATGTAGGTGGTAAGAAGTGATATGGGACAGAAATAAAAACTGATGTCAAACAAAGATGCTGCACAATATGTAACTTTATGTAAACAACATTAGGTTGATCCTATTTGTGTTTATGGGTGATGTATCTTGTCCCTTCATTCTACCTTAAATAGACAAAACAGTGAATTCAGCCAATGGCCACACTAGACTGGGTGAAGAGGGGCAGTTCCCAGAACCATTGTGCCAGCAGCACTGGGAGATCATACACAGAAGTTTTCACTGCTATGCCATTTTCCAGGATGCATCACGTGCTCTCACTGTGCCAGTCCATTGCCCAGGAGATGGGGAGTGGGCAGGCATAGCCCCATTCTCATCACCCTCTCCCACTTTGGTTAAGTTTAATGCCACTCTCAATACTAGTGTATTTTTGTGCTAGCAATACAAGGTTCATGGATTGTGCCTGAATGATGGCTATGTACAATCAATCCAAAACTGGCAACATTAACTTCTGTTGTCTCTTTGTAGAAAGAGCACAATATTGCATAGCAATATTTAGTAGAAAGCTGTGGGATCCTGAGATGAGAAGCACTATATAAACGCCAACAGCTATTGCAATTTTAATGAGGGGGAAACCGATTTAGTGGTGAGACCAAACTCGCACAATTAGTGAGTCAATAGCAGAAGTGGTAGGGGATGTGTGAAAAATGTGGCTTTAAGAATACAAGTTTTGCAAGGGTGGAGGGGATTAAATTTTCTTGGTAATATAGTGGTGGTTTTCATCATCAGAATAGCAACAATTGAAGAGGTAATATTTTGAGGCCTAAAGTGATATTGTCAAGAACATTTTAGTAAGGATATTATATTCTGCATTGGTCTCCATTAAGCTAATGGTATCGTGAAATAATTAGCTATCATCTGACAGAGTGAGTGATTAAAGATATAAAAAACTAAACAGATTCCCAAGAGTAAAAGTTCTTGTGTAAAAAAGCAGCAGCATAAAAACCCAATAAAATGATAAATAATCTCTCAAACATTTGGTAATTTGCTCCTAGAAATTTAATTCAGAATCACAAATGCCTTTGCAATAATTTATGATCTTGCCAAATAATGCTATCAAACTGTTGTTTTCACTGATGGTAAAACTTACTCATTACCTATAATAACTACGTACCAATGCATAATGTAGGACAAAAATATGTAAAGCATTGAACTCTAGCAATCAAAAATTTAAAAAAAGAGCTTTATGACTTTTAAAACACAAGTGCCATTTAGTGTTTGATTTAGGTGTAGGTACTGAAGGTCCTTTGCTATACAGAAAGAACAGACATTTTGGTTTAGTTCTCTTTTCTTATTATAAAAAAATCAACAGAACTAAAGGAGATCTCAGCTGTCCTTCTGGTACCAGATGTATTGCTCCACACTTTCAGTGGTCGAAACAAATAATAAAAATAAATAGTTAAAGGCTGAAACATTTAGCTAAAGTCATTACTGTTCGGCCTTAGATGTTACTTCCCCACTTTGTAAAATTTCTACCTTACTGGTTTTCCTCTTTTTTTGTACTAAGTTACATCTGTAGATTGTTCAGCTGTTAGCACATGGCATGAGAAACCAAGGGCTTCTATAATTCAGGGTTTGGGTTTGTGTGTACACCTGGACATAGCTACATTTGTAGAAGCCTCCAGTGTAGATGTGTAGACCCACAGATTTTATACCATGGCATTTGACTTTCTCCCAAAGAAAGGGAGAAAAACAGTAAGAAGGGAACATGGATTTTAGTTGGAATGCTCAGTCTCTGCACACATACAGGACAGAATATCCCCCTGTCCCATTACAGATGTACTGATGCAACTTAACCAATTTTCAAAAAAGCTTAAATCACATCAATGCAACACAGCCAGACTGGTATAGCTACATCAGTGTAAAAGCCACAGAAGCACAATAGTCCCTTCAATTCCACCATCTTCCTAGCTAAACTACTCTACTTCTCCAATTTAATGGATTCTGATACCTGCAATCCCCATCACCATTTCACCATCTATGACTTGCTCCTCAAACCCTCCCCTTCTCTCTCTGCACAGATCTCACTGATTTCTTCCAAGAGAAAACTGTCAAAATGACATGACCTTCCTCTTCCTTCCTACAATTCAGAGCTAATGCTGTATTTCATCTCTCTCTTCTTCTGCCATCAGCTCAAGCTCAACATGGCTAAAAGTGAACCCAATGTTTCCCCATAAGCTTTCCCCACTACCTCCTTTACCATCCAGCCCATCACTCAGGCACATATCCTGGGAGTCATCTTCAACTGAAAACTCTTAAGGTTCTCACATTTAGGATTCAAACATATCTTGCAGATTCCTTCTGCATAATATCTCTAAAATAAGGCCTTTCTAGTCTCTCCACACAAATAAAATTCTAGCACACACTCATCTCATGTCATAATTACTGCAATATCTTGCTGCAAAAAGTATTATCAGTTGCTTTGACCATGTCACCCTCTCTTTGAATCCCTCCACTTTCTCTACCACATCAAACATATGCTACTTGTCTTCAATTTCAAGTCCCTTCATGGCCTATTCCATCTTATCTATCATCTTTCAGTATTGTGATGTCACCTCCCCCTTCTATGGGCCCTTGATGCTAGCTTCCATTGCCTGATTGTTAAATATTCAAAACAAGCGCCTTCATGCTTTTTCATCCATGTTATCTCATGCTTAGGGGACACTCCCATAAACATCCACAAATCTGCCTCATTGTCCTTTAAAACTCTCCTCGAAATTCTTCTTTGCTGTGATGCCTACAAAGTAACCAAACTTGATAACCATTAGGCCACTGGTGTGCTGAGACTAATCATGCTGTCCAGTATTGTCTCATTGTTTCCTTGTACCCCACATCTATTTCCATCTGTCTCTTGTCATCTACTTAGATTGTAAACTCTTTGGGGCAGAGACCAGTATTTTGTACTGTGGCTCCTAGGTACTACAGTAATAGAAATAAATAATAGGTTAATGAGTAACCTTGAAATCCTACTTCATGGACTAAATGGATTGGAAAGGGGAGTCTCTGGAAATGAAGAACCTTATATGACAGTTATACCCAACACCTCTTTCATCAGGTTATTATGGAGAGGTATTAGTACTGGGGGAAATTTCTTCCCTCAGGACACATAACAGAGCTTTCATTGGACTTCAGTCAATCCCATGTACAAATTCAAGGGCAACATTTGGCTCTCCAAGTCAAGTTTTTTCATTGCTTCATTCTTTTTCTCTTTGATATGATGTAGTAGTGGATTCATCAAGTGATAGAGCCTTTGAAGATCGAAAAATTACTAGTATTTTTTTTAAGGACCATATAACTTAAGAGAGCTGTTTTTGCAGTTAGTTATGCTCAGTAAAGAGAGCTTTGTTGTTCTTTAAACATTAAGGGCTAAACACCAAAGGGATGGATAATGGTCTTAGTTTCAGGTGTAAAATGTGCATTTTTCTCCTGGTGATTCTACCTCCAGGTGAGACACTTTCCTTATGTTTGGAATATAAAACGATACTTCATCTTTCCTGAGTAAAAATATGCTCCTTTATAAAACCAACAAAGATAAAAGCCATAGAATCATGTCAAAGAGGTTAGGGATGGAAACGTTTCATTAAGTCACCCAGTCAGATCTCCCTCCTCCCTTGGGAGTGCAGAATTCCTTCCTACAAAGATTTAAAGATTTTTTTCCCCCCTTACATTCTTAATGTCTCAAGCAACAGGGCTTTCATCCCTTGGAAGAGTATTCTTCACTTTAATAGATTTTACTGCTGTGAAGTGTTTCACAAGATTAAGCCTAAATTTTCTTTCATTTCATTCCATTGCTCACATTTATAACCTCTTCTACCGCTCTAAAAATTCCTCCCTCTTTGCTATACCTTAAAAAAGCTTGTAGAATGCCCCATCTGTTAGTTCTCACGTTACTGAGCTATACATACTTAGTTCCTTTTAATCTTTCCCTCTAAAATTAATCCTCCAGATTCTTAACTGGATAACTGGAGCTCTAAACTCAATTCAATTATGTTAGTCCAAAATTATTACATTGTGCTATGCACAATCTTTGATCTGCTAAATACGATGATCTGAAAGGCAAGAATCTAAACTTTAGGCCACCTGTCATGCTCTTTGGCCCAAGCCAAATAGCTGGAAAAACAATCTGATGTCATTGGTAATCACCTTTCAAGAGAGGTCATTATCTTAGTAGGAATTGGAAATTTGTGCTCTGAATGAAATGGAAAGTGGATGTTTACTTTTTGTGACAATTTTCATTATGAAAAAAATTACCACCTGAATAAAGTATTAACCCTTAAAACTTTAGGCCAAAAACACCATCAAGTATCTGATAACTCTTGTGCTCAATTTGAAATAAAAAGATGATCAGAAAATTCCTACAGGTGTGTGCCCAATTCTTCCTCTCCCCCCACCAACACTAATATTACACCTTTGTGCCATTGCAGCACTAATCAATCAAGTGCTTACAGAACAAGTACTTACTGTGAAAATAATGTTCTTGACCGAACAATGAATTTGAACACGTATTCCAGTGCTTTCAAAGTTCTTAGTATAGGCTCACATTGTTCCCCTCTACTGGAAGTATCCAAATAAGTCTTCAGAACCGTCATTAGTTTCCTGAATTAGGGATAAAAAAAAAAGCACGTCAGTAACTAGCTTTGTCTCAGTAAATTACTCAACATTCTTAATCTGCAGTTACGTAGTGCATCAAGACTCAAATTGCAGATATAAAAATAAACCAGATTAAATATTTTTACTACTGTAACATGCCAATTGTAAGACCCTGTAAATGTGATGAGAATGAATAGCAAATAACTGATTCTGAAATGATATAAGTTTCTTCAATTATAGAAACTGTCAGCACCAGAGCTGACAATCCTGGAAACTATGATTCAGCAGCATTCATTTTAGTGCCAGTGATCCGTGTACAAGGAAATTTAATCTTTTATATGCATTGTACTCTAGGTGACTTTTGCCTGCCATAAACATAATAAATTAGGAAGCACTAAATGTAGGCATGTGCTCTAACACTATTAAACACTAGTGGCATGACTGTTCAAATAAAATATCTAATATAAGGTATGTACGATATTTACCTATTTCCTCATTAAATGCCCTGAGGGGAATCTCTGCTGCACTGGCACATTACATGCTAACAAAAATGTCAGGCAAGTGCAATTTTCTCCTGTTATCACTGCAGTCAAATTGATTTTTGTTATTTATTTAAATGGGAGCAGAATCAGGCCCTTAGACTGAGGCCTGGTCTATGCTGAAAAGTTTATTGGTAGAGTTATGTATGTCCGGGGTGTGGGAAAAAATCCTCAACAGACACAGCTATGCTTATAAAAACCCCAGTATAGACACAGCTATAGCAACAGAACAGAGCTTCTGTTGACATCGCTAACATTCAGGGAGGTCGTTCCTATGCCAACAGAGAAACCCCTTCTGTCAGTACAGGCTATGTTTACACTATGGGATTATGCCAACATAGTCTCCCAGCTATAGACATACCCTGAGTTTCTCAATTTTGGTCATTACAGTTTCAGAAGTGTCATATCAACTGTGATGGGACCCCTACTGATTCATTATTAGAGTTGGGTGGGAAACAGTTTCCCATTTCCAGAAACGTTAGTTTGACCTCCTCCCCCAACACACATCTTAAACTGGGACAAATTCAAAATCTCAAAAATATTCATTAGCCAAAAAACTCTCCCGTCAGCCTCCTCCCCACATTTTGGGTCAATTGAAACATTTTGTTTTGATGTTGACCTTTTTTTTCCCCCCTCCCCCCCCCCCACTTTTCTTTTTAACCATTCTCAGTCCAATTAAGCTTACCTTTCAAAATGTAAAGTTGTTTCACATTGAAAAGCTGGAGTTTTTCCATTTCAAGAATGCCAAACCAAAACAAACTATTTTGAAAATTTCTCTACATTTTCTCAAGTTGTGAAAACCCACTCCTGTTTGCAAACAGTTTTGGTTTTGACAAATTGGCTTTTTTGGCAAAAAAAATTGACAAAATTTGTGACAACTCCAGTTATAATAGGTTCTTTCATTACAGTATCAAAATGCTGGGAACTTCCTATGAGCCAGTTTATGAAGCACATAGATTTCTTGTCTTCCCGCATCACAATTAAATTGACCCTTGTTGGTCAACTACACCTGCCTATCCCACTCCAACCCATTACATGCTAGTGAGTGGAGGTAGTGATACCTGGGATTCCACATAGGGAGGAAAGTTACATTGTTTATTGTGGACTATATGGGATCCCTGCAAATGGAGGCTACCAAAGGAATTTGCTGAATTCATTACTTACTGCCATAACCACAACCATCCCAAGCAAGCTCTGCTGAATTTTACGGCAATGATTATCTGGCTGCAGACTCCTCAGCACAGGGGAGGTTTATGCATTGCTGTACAGCTAACAACTGCCTTTTGAGGCTTTCTGCCAGAGTTTGCACAAAACTGGTGTAATCAATCTGCTTCATATTGGACATAACCCTGAATCCCTTAAGGTTTTCTTCAGTCCTTACACATGTTTAGTCCTCTTTGAAATCCATAGGAGTTTGGCCTGCAGGAGGACTAAAACTGAAAAGGATCTCAATTTGGCCAATGTATTGTAGTACTTTATCAAGTCAAGACATCTAATGAGATTAAAGTTACTTGTTAACTTTCAAAAAATGACTGGGGGATTTTTAAAAAAAGAGAGAGAAAAGAAAAGAATAAAACTTACTTGTAAGCCAAAGTTGCACTGAAGTGCTGTTGGATATAAGCCTCCAGAACAGTATTGAAATGTTGAAATTTCCTGTCTGCAATAAGTCCTATTATATAAATCTAAAGAGAGATTAATCAAATTAGTGTTTGCCACGCGCACAACATTAAAATGGAAATATCAGGTTCCTGAAGTATTTATCATTCTGAAGCGTTTACTTTTAAGAATTTACTTTGTGCACAATTTGATGCACAGTTTCAGCAAATTTAGCTATTCACTCTGATGCTGGCAGGTGCCAGTTTTTGCCAAGGCTTTAGGCTTCAGCTGAGCTCTGACAAATTCATTGCTGGAAACCAGTCCAGCTCACCTGTGTTAGCATGGTTAAGATGGGTACTGGATTTATAACAATATTTTTAGACTTTATGAAATGCTTTTAAGTTGCTGCACGTATTAATTCCACTCTTCATGTCTGTATCCCAAGCCATAAGGTGATATGTAAGTTTTATTTTGTAACTGTAGGACTGCTTGTTATGACCCTGTGAACCCAATCAGAAGGAATGGTCCACTGCCCATCAAGAAGGACTATCGGAATGAAGTAGGCCATTGAGGAACATCACAATACAAAGACTTAGTTAATGGCTCTCTCTGACCCACAAAAGTGTGTTACATGCAAGAAAGCCCCTATCATCAGCTTGAATGCTGGTGGGAGGAAATAAAACAGAACAGAAAAAAATTCATCTCTCTTTTGATGTTTGGGCTCAGATAGGGCCAGACACACTAAACTGAAGCAGAGGTCCCCATGGTTACTCTGGGTTTGCCCTGAAAGACATTTTGAATTGACAGATGTAGACATCTATCACCTTTTGGAACCACAGACTGCCTGCTTTAACCTGTAAATAACTCTGATTTTCTTCCTAGTCAATAAATTCTTAGTTTACTATAGGTCTGACTACCAGTGTTGTCTTTGGTGAGAGATCTGAGTTATAAATTCATCTGGGGAAAGTGACTGGTCTATTAAGACTGGGAGCAACCTGAATATTTTGTGACCTTTGGTGTAAATGACCATTTATCACTTAGTCTAGTTTGCCTGAGTGGCAAGATAGAGTGGAATGCCCAAGGGGACTGTCTGTGCCTCCATGGTAAGACTGTTTATAGTACTTTCAGAGATCAGATTTGTTACAGGGTTATAGACCATATCACCAGTTTGGGGTGTCTGCTCTCCTTTTTGACAGTCTGCTCTGAGGTTGGCACTTATGGTCATAAGCCACTCCACACAGCGTGACACACTCAAAGGCAACATTTCATCAACTAGTTTTGTTATTTTAACACTAATTCCTTGAGGTGTATATATACATACTATGGAGTCTCTTATGACTCTTTAGTAGTGCAGTGTCTTCAGTGCATTTCAAGTCCATTTGCTCATTTTTTCTATTTGCAGTGTAGTCTTTTTTTTTTTCCTATGATGATTCTTACCAGTGCATCAAAGACTAGAATGTCATATTCATCACTATGGGAATGTTCCATCATGATGTTAAACAGGGCATCCAAAGTGTCTTGGAGAAACTATATGATGGAAAATGAAACAAGACAAAATAATTAAAATAACTTGGAAAAATCACATTGAGAACTCATTTTGCAGATAATGGAACTTGGTTTCCTCTGGATGGATTTTTGGAGGCCCCTGGGAAAATTGTGGGTTTTTTTTTTTTATGATGCACCTCAGAGGATATAGCCTTTAGTTCCTGGAATTTGACCATGTCCCTGAAGATTCCGATCGGTTAGTCCATAATATACACTTAGGTTCTTTATCAATGCTATGACTCTTTAAACTATCACTATCTGTAGTTTGTATATAATTAAAACAATTCCTGTCTTTTTGAGTGATATAGATCAATATTTGCTCTTTTTATCCTGAAAAGGTAACAGCACAAAAGATGTTTATCCCTCTAGAGCAGGGATAGGCAATCTTTAGCACCTGGCCCGTCAGGGAAATCCGCTGGCAGGCTGGCACGGTTTGTTTACCTGCAGCGTCCAAAGGTTCATCCGATCGCAGCTCCCACTGGCTGCGGTTCGCTGTTCCAGGCCAATGGGGGCTGCGGGAAGTAGCGTCCAGCACATCCCTCGGCCCATGCTGCTTCCCGCAGCCCTCATTGGCCTGGAGCGGCGAACCGCGGCCGGGGGGAGCTACGGTCGGCTGAACCTGCAGACGCTGCAGGTAAACAAACTGGCCTGGCCCGACAGTGGCTTTCCCTGACGGGCTGCATGCCAAAGGTTGCCGATTCCTGCTCTAGAGCCTGAGACTGAGCCCATTATAGTCAACAGTGAGACCCCTGTTGATTTGAATTGGCTTTGGCCCGTCCTTAGTGGGTACTGCACTTTTCACCACCTCCCCATAGAACAGAGGTAGCTACTATAGCATTAGTTGCTTTTAGACTTAAAAGGTAAGGTTGATTTAAATTACATGACTCCTAATTTGGGTGCCTTCTCTTTATGTCTTCATTAACTATTAACATTGTTCAGTAGTTTTTCACAAATTCTTACCTACCTTGCATTTGTTATAAGAAAGCAGGGCATTAATAATATATTCCCATTTTTAAAAAATCTGACATATATAACCCAGCTATAAAAAAACAATGCTTATTCTCTTGTATACCTGTTGACAGCAGCAGAAAGCACAAACTGAGCAAATATTCCTTTACCAGCTATGTTTGAGCAATGTTTACTATTATTCTCTTCCATCATTTTTTTAATCACCTGTCTATGACAAGCCCAAAATTAAAATTTAGCTCTGGTGTAGGTTGAGTGTCAGAATACTTGTGAAAAGCACCACTTTGTCGCTAATGTCCCAATTCTGTATTCTCTGCACAAAGAAAATTCCCAGATGGATAAATCTTTAACCCCACTTGAGAATAAGAAAGCATAATGGATCAGGCCAGAAACCCATCTGTACTCATCATCATCATCTGACAGTAGCTGACACTAGATGCTTTGGAGGAAGGGGCAGAAACTCTTTAGTAGACAATTATGGAGTTTCCTGCCCACAAGGAAGTACCTTACTAACCCTTATAATTAGAGGCTGGTTTATGCATTTAAGATTATACCTCTTTCAAAACTTTAAGGATCATGGAAGGTGTTCATTAGTATCATTTTAGAGAGGGCAGAAAGGGAAAAAAAACTTATCTGAAAGCAAATGTTTGTTATTTCTTGGATTAAAAACTACATGTATTCTAAACAGTTACTGTAAGATTCAAGAATTCTGTGTTGTGTTGAAGATAGCAGTACAGAATCTGTTAAATGGGCTTTCATTGTCATTTATCAAGTGCTTTACTAAAGTCCATATAGATTAGATCTACCACATTTCTCTTGTCTAGAGAATCAGTTATCAAAGAAAGATGTCAGGTTAGTCTGACACAGCCTGACCATGTTGCACTATCTCCTATTTATGTCTAATTATTCTTTCCTTCACAATTTGTTCTAAAGCCTTGCATATATTGAGATCAGACTAATGGGTCTGTAGTTGCCCAGATCACACAGCCAGAGATAATATTTATGGGACCCAGGTATGAGATGTGCTAGCCATTGTCACCTGTTTTGCATAGTAAGTCAGTTTTATAGTTCCCTGAAGAGTAAAATACAGGTGCAAAGTAAAATCCGATGCCGGGGGGAAAATGGTTGTTTTAGCTATTTTCTCAATGATTTGAACACATACAAAGTGCAGCGGGAAGAGACATGGCACCACAAACTAGCAACAATAACGTGTTTACCTTGGCTAAGGCATGTTGAAGCAGTAAGATTTTGAATTAAGGATCTACAAGTGTTAGACTAATACTATGTTTGGAATATTCATGGGACTCTGAGTTAGCTGAGCAATATTCCCTTAATCAAGGTGGGTGTCCCAGAAGACAACTGTGTGAAGCTTCAAGTAGACAGAAAATGAGCTATACCCATTGGATTATAGGACAGTATTACTACCTCTGCTAGTGATATTTAGCTAGATAGATGTAGATACACATGTGGGGAATAAAATTTGACAAGGAGAAAGACCAAGATTAAGCCATCTTTCTACCTTCCAGAAAAACACTAAAATAAAAATTGGAGACAGGCACCTTTAGGAGGAGGAATGGGAAGTGGCAGAAGTCATTTCCCTTGAGGATTTGTATCTGCCAGATTTAGCTACTTCTGCAGCCTTGCAAATAGTCTTTACATGGAGCAATAAACTGATTTTTAAAGTAAATGCATATCACTTGCATTTGTTAACGTAGGGGGCCTCAGCTTTATCCAATAACTCTTTCGGTATTACAACCTCTAATCTACTCTCATCTAGGCTAAATATTTGTTATGTTGTTACTTAGATTGTTTTCTACATGTGTATTTCAAATTTGCAAATATGGTCAAATGAATTTTATATGTATGACTGAAAGAGGTCAAATACCTTTGGCTATATGTCCATATCTGCTAGTGAGTCAAATGAAATTAGCCTAACACAAATAGCATCAAAAATTTATTGTACTCTTGCACACTTGTTCAAACGTGGCCCAGCAAGCAACAATGTGTGATGTCAGCATAGGAATTTCTGACATTAAACTATCTAATATAAGGACTCTTACTCATAATAGTAATGAAATCCTAAGTTACCATCCTATAGTGACTACATGATTTTCTCCATCCATATTGTATCTAATATCTATTTAAAAATTATCCTTACCTGTCCCACTAGCTTAATCCTTATAAGTGTGCAAACTGTATTTTGCTTTCACCAAGATTGGTGTTAAGATATATTGGAAATTGTTTCATGTGAGCATCTTGTACAATTAATGACAAAACTTTGTCATTGTAATGATTTTATGTGAACAGAGAAAATTATCTCTCATTTAAGGGAAGAGTGGTGTGCAGCTGAGCTCTGCAGCATCACCTCTTCCTAAATCATTGGAATGGTGTATTTTGTCCATTGTGTGGAGGAAGACTAGGTTCTGGAATAGCAAGGGCATACCTAACTCTACTAAATGAAAAAAAATAATCCCCTCTATCAGACGATTGTTGAATGCCATGAACAACAGCCTGACAGAAGCCTAAATGTTCTATCCTCTGTCAAAAGAGAAGCAGCAGGCTCACAAAATCATCGTTAAAGGGGAGAGCTCCAACAGCAACAGAACAGCAGCTGTGTAACAATGTAACACTGAAAAGGAGGTACCTTCACAACTTCCTCCCCATCCACAATCTTCAGTTTTTCTAAATTTTCCTGTAGCAGTTCCGGCTTCATGCGCCACTTCAAAAGACCCAGTAAACCCACTGGAATAAATTGCAGAGAAGATAACTCACATGGATGTTAAAAAGCTTTAAGAATGTGTAATAGCCTTTTTCAAATGCTTACACAAGAATTTGAACTGCATACCATTTTGAGTTAGCTTTGTTGAACAAACCAGAGTTGAAATAGAAAAGGCATCCCGTGCGCTTACTGAGAGTCCTCCTACACTGCTAGCACTTCGGCTTAAGGTCAATCCTTTATTCTCCACATGTTGGCGAGAGGAAGGTAGAGTCAAATAAGCACTGGCATCCTCCATTTTCTTACTATCACCCTGAAAAGATATTAGTTATGTATTATTTGTATTGCAGGAATGCATAGGAATCACAGTCATGGACAACCATTAGGCACTGCACAAACATAGTTTACAAAGTAAGGATAGGTAAGAGAAAACACGTGAAGCGCAAGTAAACACAAACAATGCTGGTCAGCAAGAAAGTTGTAGTCTCAGCACACCAGCAATCTCACCACTGTCAAGATTTTTTTCTAGGCACCACAGGAAAAGTTTAAGGAGAGGTGACTTTGAGGGTGCTCAAAGGGTGCTCCTTCCCATATGCAAAGGGCAGCCTGGAAGAAATTGGAAAGGCAATTGTTTGAAAATGTAATAAGTGGACGATGCTGGCTGGTATCCGTGGTAGAATGCAGGCTGGAGTTGACCTCTCAATAGCACAGACAAGTAAAGTGGGGATAGGACATGAAGGGCCTTGAAAGTGGCAAAGTAGTTTGTATTTGATGAAATGGAGAAGAGGACGGTGAAGGGATGCAAAGAGGATGATGTGATCAAAGCAAGAATCCTGGAAATTTTTCTTTGAAGCACCATTTTGAATGGATATAAGGGGGTGGGGAGGTCGAGACTGCATTTTTCAAGGTCACAGAAGATGATGTTGCAGTAATTGAGATCCAACAGGAGGGTGACCTGGACTGTCTGGATGGAGGGGAAGGCGATATCTTAGAGATGTTATTCAGGAGTAACTGGCAAGATGTAAAATGGGAGATTATTTCTTCTGATTTGAAGACATTCCATAGAGAGGCAATCAAAACAGAACTGTGGTGTTTGGCCTTCTAAGAGAGGCTGTGAATAGTGATGAACCAAAGAAAATGACATTATAATTTTGTATAAAGGCAAAGTAAATCTGTATTCTGTAAAATTATTTTAGAAGTCCTCTCAATAATTGTATGCACTTGAATATTGATTAGGGCAGACAGATACTATGACAGACCGTATGCAGTCTGTCATAAAATCCAATTTGATTACATTGGAACTATTCAGAAATGAGAAATTAGGGAAAACTATACTCAGTTGACAATTAAGACTGGAACTGAAAACAGTCTCCCCAACACAAGCTTCTAGCAAAAGAAGCCTATTAAAATGAAGAGAAAAAAAACCCACTTTAGTCAGATTATGAAATGGTAGGTACTAGGGAAGGAAAATAGAATATACTTAACTACAGCTCTTGGAATGGCTACTTGCACCATATAGTACATCCATCAGTTCACAGTTTGTACCCAATACTGTTGCAACTATTCAAATTTCATGACTGTTCAGGTTTGAAGCTGAATTTCCAGACCATATCAGAAGGTGCAACTGCCAGGCCTGCAGAGCAAGTGTAGCAGATGTGGAGGAGAGTGCGCTGACCTGAAATTTACTCAGCACAGGATTTCTAGATTCAGGAGACTTATTCTTTGACATTTACCATAGCTCCAAAAGGTTTGGCCTATGAAAGAAGGGCTGTGTGCAAACAGACCTATGGTGTCAGTTTTTATGGTTTTATATAATTCTTGAGATAATTCATGTTAATGCATCCCTAAAAGGTGTCAGGGATGCTTCCCAGTCTGACAAGATGTAGAAAGAGGCTTGGTGCCTAAACTCAGTTCAGGTTCTCACTCAAAAGCATTAAAAAAAAAACCCACTGGTTTCCATCCCATGAGGAGATGTCCATTCTCTAGCTGCAGTCAAGCAAAGCACAGGAAAAGCCTGAAAATTATCAAGAGATATATTGAGGGTGGAAAGGTCACTTCTGAAGTTGAAGATGTACTAGAACATTGGCAAGTGTTGCCTGCTTCCTCTATATTATCAGTCTCACAATTAGGTTTTTTGTTTTTGGGGGTTTTTTTACACACGTTAGATGAGAGTCTCAGCTTTCATTTTGAATAAAAAGTTTCTAACCCTCAGAGAAAAGCTTGAAAACATGATTCAAGTGCACACCAAAGGACTGAACATCAGAAAGCAAAAAAAAAAGAAAAAAAAACAGCTAAAAACTTTAAACTCAAAAGGTTTTAAATACCTTTTAAAGCCTCTCCATTTCTGGGATCCTGACTCATGTTTTTAAATGCTTAGCATTGGTGTTTCTGTGTTTGAATTCTAGAAGTAGCATTTCTCTGTCAGAAATGATCTGTCTATCTTCTACCATAAATATAATGTGCCAACTCAGTTTAGCATTTCTAATATTATATGCTCTTGCTTAACCAGAAGTTATGGACTTGATGCAGGAATCACTTGCTGAAATTTTATGGGTTGCATTATACAATCAATCAAGACTGGATGATCATAACGGTCCCTTCTGGCCTCAATATTTATCAGTTTTAGTACCAACAAGAGGTTGGCAAATATCTAAAAAAATACATTAATCTCCACTGGAATTTATAAACTATTTGCTTTAGTTGTGTGCTTGCCTCTGTTTTAGCTTGCCATGAATATTACAGAAAACTAGTTTACTGGACCAAACACATTTGGAAACAGCTAATTAAGTACAGGATTGATTATATTTTCAGGAAATTCATTTCCAATTCCCAGTCTTCAGTATCTGCATGGGAAACTCAAGTTTAATATCATGCATCCAACCAGGGGGGGGAAAGGTCAACCATGTTATTTGTGGCTAATCAGAACTAACCAGCACTGGTCAAATGTCCTGTATCCAAATCCCTGCAACTGACTGTTCATATACAATCCACAGCTAAGTAGTATTCATTGTAATTATAAACCAACCAACCCTTCACAAATACAAGAAAGTCACAAGCTGTTCACAGATTATTCACAAGGCAGAAGAGATCATGGTGAAATTAACTGAATCAGTGTTTAATTGAATTTTATTCCATGCTCTAATGATGGTTTAAGTCCAGGTCTTGAGTTTTGTCCCAAGCTTCTAGAAGTAGGGACAAAGTAGACTTTAAGCAGGGCAACAAAGGTTAAAATGTGGGAACAGCAACTGTCCTGTGTCACTCTACAATGATTCCTACCTATAGCAAATGTTTGGGGTCGTCTTGACTGGCTCTAGAAAAAGATGCATCCAGTCTTGTCCATTCAGAGGAAGGACCACATAATTTAAGTCTTTAATAGGATAATGAGAGGAAGACCATCGAAAACTGGGAATATCATAGAAGACTGAACAGTAAAAAAGTCAGTGAAAAAAATAATTCCTTCTATGCAACAACCTTCATTACTATACCTTTAATACTACCAACTCATGGGAGCCATCTTGAAGAGTTGTACCATCCTCCTTCATTAGCTTTACATAGGCCATTGCAAAATTCTTTTCTCCTTTGTCTTTAGCTACAAAGTACAAAATCATGTGTTATTTTTTTTAAAGGATCGGCAACCTTGATTGCAAACAAAAATAATAAAAATTCTGTACTTACACTCTTGAGATGACCTATGTCTGAACATGAAACGCAGATGTATTCTTTGCATGTCTTCAATGGGGACTGCCACCTTTTATAAATCAGAAGTTATGGCACATAATTAAACTGGTCTACTTTGAAATGAATATTCACCATTCCTTTAATTGCTGGGTTTAGCTACTCATGCAATCTGGGCAATTTATAAATTCTGGTTGATATTGTGAAGTTGTTCTCACTGAATATTGCTGCATCAAGGAATGCCTCTGTATATTGCTAACAAGCTTGTAAGCACATCTCTTCCAGACTAGGGACAATGGAGAGGAGTTACCTTTAATGACTGTACTCTGATTGCTCAGTATATATGCTAAGAAGGAGGATGTCTAGAGCTGGGAGAAGCCACTTCCTCCAGCCTGCATGTAAGTAGGCTTGGGTTTGAAGAGTGGAAAATTACTAGCAGCAGGACAAAGGAGCCAGGAGTTGATGATGGGACATATCAACTTGAGGGAGTTGGAAACACACAGAAAGTTTTGGACAGGAGAGAGGGGAAGAGACAGGAATGCCTTCATAGCAGGGGAAACTCCGCTTAGGACCAACGTAGGTCAAAGCAAGCTGACCTGGAGAGAGAGAGAGCGTGCGCGCATGCATGTGAAAGGCTCCACGATTATAACGAACAACCATGGTGTTGAAGCAGAAGCACCCTGGACAGACCCAGAGGACTCTGACCTGAATCATGCTCTGGACTGGTGAGGAAACTAAGGCAGGGAAATGTATATAGACTTATTTTTGTATAGAGCTGTGTATTTCTTGTGATTAAGAGCAATGGTGGTTTAGAATCCTGTGAAAGTCAGTCTGTGCATTGGGTGTTACACATATGCCCTTCAAGAGTTAACCTGTGGATGCAGAGCACCCAGATGGCAGAAGTTTTCGAAGAGGGAGTGTTTAAGCTATAGGAGAGTCTGAGCAGTTAACACTGGTAATGGGGCGTAGGCAGCTGGATCACAAAATCTCAGCTTTCAGAAGAGTGTGCTAAATGGAGGATCATTGCCCTGTGAGTATGTTGAGGGATCCCAACAAGAGGCAGTGCCTGGATTCTGTTCAACTCTGGAGGCTTAAAGCAGATGGGGCCCAATGAAGTGGGGCTCCTCACAGGTAGGGTTGCCAGGTGTCCGGTTTTTTACCAGAACACCCAGTCAAAAAGGGACCCTGGCGGCTCCGGTCAGCACTACCAACCAGGCCATTAAAAGTCTGGTCGGCGGTGCTGCGGGTCTAAGGCAGGCTAGTCCCTACCTGTCCTGGCACCACGCTGCACCCTGGAAGCAGCCAGCATGTCCAGCTCCTAGGCAGAGGGGCCACAGGGCTCTGCGTCCTGTCCCCACCCTGAGCACCGGCTCCACACTTCCATCGGCCGGGAACCGCAGACAATGGGAGCTGGGGGGCAGGTCCGGCGGGCGAGAGCAGTGCTCAGAGCCACCTGACCCCCCACTTAGGAGCTGGACCTGCTGGTCCCTTCCAGGTCACAGAGTGCTGCCAGGACAGGCAGGGACCCTGCCTTAGCCCCGCTGCGCCACTGACTGGGAGCCATCCGAGGTAAGCCCACGCCCCTACCCTGAGCCCCCCCGAAACCCAGAGCCCCCTCCCATACCCTAAACCCCTCCTCCCCAGCCCCACCCCAGAACCCGCACCCCCAGCCAGAGCCCTCACCCCCTTCTGCACCCCAACTCCCTTCCTCAGACCAGACCCCCCCCAAACATACCCTGACCCCCTCATTTCTGGTACCACCCCTCTTGCATTCCAACCCCCTGCCCCAACTCAGTGAAAGTGAGTGAGGGAGTGGGAATGTAGTAAGCGGGGGGTGGGGCCTCAGGGAAGGGGCGAGGCTAGGGTGTTCAGTTTTGTACAATTAGAAAGTTGGCAGCACTACTCACAGCCATCTGGGGAGTGGGCAGGAGGGGGCACTTGACCAAACTTGAGACAGTCATAACCACATGCAAAAATCAGTGGTACTCTTCCCCACCTGTATGCTGGCCCTATAAAGCCTTGCATACACAAGACACATTTGCCTAGGCCTGGCCTCAGTAAGCGGAAGAGATGCTAGGCCTGAAATCATCTGCTTGGAATTCCTAATGAACTCAGAGGTACCACAGTCAAGCAGAATAGAGGAGGGTGTAAAAAAGGACTGCAGCAGGAGGAAGCAGACTGAGCTCTGGGTGCCTGGGATCCTATTATACAGTCCAGGATGAAAATATTGATCAGGACCACTTCCAATTTGCATGTGAGTATGGCTAAAGCCATTAGTTATAGGACTGAGAACAGTTCATGTGCTAGAAAACAAAAATGAAAAACGAAAGTGAAATTGTACTGTTAATTATATGGTTTTATATAACACCTCTCAAAGCCCTTTAACATCAAATCATAAAGCCCTATGGAGGTAATTATACCTCTTTGGTAATGGATGAACTGGAGTAGAGAAATATTAAATGACTTTCCCAAAGCTGCAAAGCAAGTCAGTATCAGAGCCATGAAGAGAAGCAGGGAGTCATGATCAGATCACATTCCCACCCACTCTCTCACACCTTACAATCTGATTGCTAAAGAAGTCACAAACACTACAAGGAAATGAATACATTATCCAATATTAGCAGTACTCCATTAGTATAAAACATTCTCATGATCTGACAGGTCACAAATCAGATTTTTAAATTATATAATTCCGATGTCTACCTTGCGTTTATTCCTATTTGCACTATAGTATTAGACTTGTTGGTCCCAGGATATTAGCAGGACAAAGTGGGTGAGGTAATATCTTTCATTGGACCAACTTCTGTGGATGAAATACAGACAGAGAATCTTGTCTCACCCACAGAAGTTGATCCAGTTTTACCCACCTTGACTCTCTTTATGGCTTAGACAGTGGTGGCTCCTGAAATCACATGAGACTATCTTGAAAATCACTAGCTACAACACAGCATTTTATAATACCTTAATCTGACTTGAAACCCCAACTTTCAAATAATTTAAGCACAATTATTTCTAATGACCCTCAATACAAAATCTGCTCAAGTTACTACAAAAATTAAAATGGAAACAAGATGTCAAAATACATTTGTCAGTGCTTTCATGACTACACACACATTTTACAGCTGCAGATGACCTACCTTCTTTCCACTCTCACTACATACGTTAGTGCAGTTGCAGATTTATTATACAGATTACTGACATAATTTAGCCAATCTTCCATAGCACTTTTCAAAAGAAAGCATTGACTGTAGACTTGTCAAGTAACCTTGAGCCATGTTTTGTAATTATTGCCTTCAGAACCTTCCAGACTATTCCAATTAAACACTGATTACATAGGTGTCTATTAGTTTTTCTCTAATAGACATCCAAGACCATAACAATCTAAAATTTACAAGAGGTTATTTACCATACTTGTTTAATCACTCAAGCTTCTCGCTTTCTCTGTTTTACACCAGTACAGTTTCATTTTGAATAAGGCATATTCAGGACATAAGGTAAACTAAGATGATCTCATTGGTTTTGCTGCTACAACAACAAGAAATCCTAACACAGTTTTCTAGACTGAAACTTTAAGCATCATTTATCATGTATCCCTAACTGATAGTTGATGTAAGACATACATGCAACTATATTTCAAGACCTCAAGGTATTTGTTACAAAAAATCTGAGTTGCACTGTAATAGTTTTTTTTCAGGAGAAAAGATAGGAGCTGACAACTGAAGGGGAAAATATAAATGAAAAATGTTTGTGTCATACCTTTAATGTTTCCATCCAGCGTGGCTGTTTGACCTGATAGTAGAGAACTGATCTGTATTCACTTACAGGTTTGTCCCCTGCTCCCAAACAAATTGCATTCTTACACACACACAAAAAAGAGAAAAAAAAATGCAACTTAGTTATTTTGTGTAAATAATTCATGGGCTGTGGGTAAAAGGCAAAACTCTCCTACTTTAGAACACTCCAACAAGGTACATATTTTCAGCATAGCAGATTTACAAAATTCATCCAAAGAACTAGAAGTGAAAGCTATTTAACTACAATAAATACTAGCATTCTAGAAATCAGAGCTATGAAGAGAAGCAGGGAGTCATGACCAGATCATCAGATCACATTCCCACCCTGTCTCTCACACCGCACATTCTGATTGCTAAAGAAGTCAAACACTACAAGGAAATGAATACAATTATCCAATATTAGCAGCACTCCATCAATATAAAACATTCTGAAAATTTCTGACCCTAATGGTAACCAGTCTTATCATTTGTTTGTAACACTGATGTATTAATCTGATTCTTTAAAAAAAAAAATCCATACAAAATAAGTTCCCTGATGGGCTTGCATTGATCAGGTGGTATTTTACTTTGATTATTTTCTAAATCTTCAGACATCCACAATGCATTTTATAAGGTTTTTAGCTCTAAATACATGCTAGTGCCAATCTTTTAACAAATCTTTAGCCGGTGCAACACTGACAACAGTATTCAGAGGCCAACTTGATTATTGGCATGAGCATGGGTTCGCTATACTCAATCAAATTCAATTTGTTTATTCCAGAGGTGAATTTGGCCCATTGTATAGAACCAAGAACACTATCAACCTAATTTAAATGGAAAAGCATCTTCCAATTTAAATGCAACAGAAAAAAATTGTTTACAGCTAGAGGCGACAGTGCTACATTTAACGACACATATAAAAAGGAGCACAAGATATTCTGTTCATTGCACACAAAAAAGTTGTATTATTTGTACTGTGATAGCACCTAGAGATGCCAGTCAGACCAGCAACCCACTGTGGTAGGCATTGTAGAAACACATAAGGAAGTCTCTGGCCCAAGGAGATTATAATCGACTTCAAGTATAGAAACTTCAACCATCCTTTGTGTAAAATATTATCAAATGTCTTCTATTCCCACCAAGCCTCCTCTTCAGGTATTTTTAATGCTTTCCAGTGTGTTTCTTCTTTGTTTTATGTTTCGTACTGCAGCCAAGTTGAACAATAAAAGTAATCTTCAGCCTAGTGCATGCAGCTCTATTACCCCTTACCTGGCTCCCATTGAAATCCATGCGAGTTTTGTACATGCAAAGACTTCAAGAGGAGACCATATATTGACAAGCTATAGTAGAAATAGTGTGTAGTACCACTACATAGTCATGTTGTGCCTCAAGAGGGCATTTATTTAAAAAGTTTCACATGAGAATATAGGCCAGGGTCAGACATCCACATAAACACAATCGCTTGAACAACCCTGAAGCACAAAAAACGTTCAAAAGCAGGGTATGCCAGAGTAGAGAAGGCTTGGGCAACCTCAGGAGATTTTACGTCCTTTAGCATGCAGCCAGTGCCCAACAAATAACTTGCTCCGTAAAGGGGCTAAGATGTAGGTGTTTGTGTCTGGGAAAGGGAAGTTGATAAGTTGTGTTTGCCTTTTTCAGTTTTCTTGGAGGTTTAGCTGGATGTCTGTGCAGCTAGAGAAAAACTTCCCAGGAGGACTAAGCAAAGCAAAGATGCCAAAGCCCTCTCTTTTCTGGGGTTTCAAATTTCACAGGGCTCTTTTCCAAGAAAACGAGCAACAAAATCCTAGAGAAATGCCTAGGAACACTACCTTTAGGCAGTTTATTTTATTTCATCTCTAAGAGGCCAGAAAACTAGAGGATTTGTGTCTCTAGAACTCGCTGCCCTGGCTTTTAGAAAGTAACACGCCTCTTTCCAAAAAATAGCCCATCCCCTATTGAGGTTCTGAGCCTAAGTAGGCTCAGCTGGACACGATTACTTCAGTTCAGGAAGCCACTCCCAATTTAGACTCCAAAATCCCTTCTATGAATTAACTCAAAATTCTCAGGCAATTGTCTTGCTCAGTGAGACTTCCCTCTAGGGGCACTACTAGGAGCAGGAGATAAGGCCCCTGACAATAAGGCCCCCTCCTGGATACTCCCTCCTACCACAATACATCTCATGTCAGGGCGTATTTTTACATTTGTCATGTTTCATTTCTACACTCAAAGTTATGCCCAAAGTGCATTGTGGTCTGGATGGGCTCAACCCCACATCAGTTGCATTCCCACCCCACTCCAAAGGAGAGTGCTCATTCAGTCCAAAAATAGAGCCACTTCTCTTGGCAACTGCTTTATTAACAAAAAGATGTTCCCAAATTTACCTATATGAAACTCCAGATTAAGCCTCAGCAGGCTTTACTGCCTCTACAGTAACTTTGCCCCAACTTAAGTCTTCTACACTTGTTTGGCTGTAGTTAGGGCTCCTTCTCTCAGTATCTGTCTGCTCCAAACTCTAGCAGTGTCTGCCTGAGGGTACCATTATGCCACTTGCACCAGCAAGTTTGCTTTACCCCTTTCCAACAGGTTCAGCTCCAGCTAATTGGGTGTGGTTTTCAAGCAGTATCTGCCACCCTAGTACACAGCAACCACAGAAAGGCAGTCACTGTTCTCCTTGAGTTCATACTCCATTGATAATTTACAAAGAGGGGAAGAAAATGTGACACCCCAGAAAAGATCCAATTCTACATCCAGTTTTTGCCACCTGCTATACATCAAGCTCTTGATGCCTTGTTTTTTCCTGGTTGTTCATTTTATTAATGACAGTCTACTGTCTTTTGTTAGTTTGATGCTATTTTTAATATATCAATATTTAACTCTATTTTAACATTTTCTTCGCAGTTTTTAAAGTCTCTATTTATATTTTAGTCTCACCTTCCTTTCCCACCCCATATGTCTAACAATTGCTTATTCTAGTTCTATGTATCTAACATTACAAAATTTTCCCTTCCAACATTTTAATTCACGTTCTCTATTATTTTAAACCTTACCTTTTCCAAAATTTCTCATTGATTTTTATCCCTCATTTCCTCCCCTCCAACACACACACACACACACACACACACACACACACACA